AAATGTCACTTGTGTCCTATTGTATTCAATATTCAATTTATGTCCAGTTGTATGATACTTTTGTGTCATTTGTATCCTGTTATTTTTGTTGACCGTTAAAGATAACAGTTGACCAGAAGGTGGTCAAAATGACATCGACTATTGATGACATGGCAGCCACATAGACGCTAAGTCATTGGACACAATAAATTTTTAATTTAAAATTTATTAATATTGTAAATGTAATCCAAAAATAAAATATAAAATTAATATCTATTTCACCTTTCCCTCTCCGTCGTTTAGCTACAATTTCAGCCACCTTCTACGACCATTCACCCCCATCAAGAGTGTGACGACGGTGAGTCAGGTTCAGTGAAGAACAAGTAGAAAAGAGCCTCCGACAGTCAATCCAACCTCCTTCTCTGTCCAGTTCGAGAGATGAAAAAGAGGATTGGATTTCTGGGAGGTGAAGCGTCAGATTTTGCAATTGGGGGTTTGCGATTGGGATTCAGTGGATGGGTTCTGGCGTTGGGATTCACGATTTAGGGGCGGGTTCTTGTAGTAAAGTACAGGGGACTGGGTTCCTCTCCCACCATAAATCTTCTGAACTCCGTCCACAATCGTCGCCATCATTGTCGATGTCGATATGCCACTGTCGTGATTTGTGAAATGGGGCTCGTTGTTGATTCTTTCCCGATTCATCCATCAAATCATTGTCACTGCACTAGCTATGTCATCGTCCACGTTGTTGTGATTTTCGATCTAGGGCTTAATGGGAAAGTGAAGCTCTCTGATTTGGGGGAATCGAGGCAGCGAATGGTGGATCTGCTACAGCCAACTCTTCAGCAGCAAATCGAGTTAGCGGAGGGTGGAGCGGAGTTGAGAGGGAGAAGGGGACGGAGTGGGCTGAGGAAAAGAAGGGGATTGATTTTTGTTTCTATGGCCGGTTCGCAACAGGGAAGAAGGGGACGGCGAACGGCGGGGAACGACAATGGGGTGAGGGGAGGAAGTGGATTTGAGTTTTTTTTTTTGTTGTTGTTTTTTGCTTTTTTATTAATTTTAGATGGAAAAATATTAAAAAAATCCATGTCAGATGCCATGTCAATGCTGATTATATTTTGTGTTAATTATTAACGGTCAACGCCAGTCAATAGTTTTTTGGTAGTGCGTGGAAAGACCTTTCGGATAACGTTTTTTCCCCTATAGCAGAGGGATTTTCCTTAGGTGCTGGGTACCTTTCTTCTTCTTGCTTGAATCTAAAAGAAATTTTCCTGTTATGAGACGCGATGTCGGCTTTAACTGAGATGGTTCATGATAGAAATGGAATATTGAATACAATAGGATGCAAGTGACATTTTTTCGATAGTTCGGGTGTTATAGTGGTATTAGTCCAATAAATTTAGAATTGAAATAAAAATGCAAGTCTAAATCCATTAACAAAAAGGTTATTCACAGCCAAACACATCTATAAAGCATCCTTCTTCTACCAACCACTAACCTGTCCAGTGGGTGTACGTACCATTCTTGCTAATAAAAACATAGAAAAGAAACTAAAATTGCCCACCAATTGAAACATGAAATATTAAAGCTTTATTATTCATGATCAGTTCATGCTTTCTTTTGAGATTGTCCTGTCGAGTGCCAGCCGTTGGAATCACATTATTTCGAGGCATGCTCTTCATGATCAGTTCATGCTTTCTTTTGAGATTGTCCTGTGGAGTGCCAATCGTTGGAATCACATTATTTCGAGGCATGCTCTTCATGATCGGTTCATGCTTTCTTTTGAGATTGTCCTGTGGAGTGCCAGCCGTTGGAATCACATTATTTCGAGGCATGCTCTTAGTAGCATTTGAGGCTTCTACCTCTGCGAGCTCACCCTCCCTAGCAGCATGTGGTGAACCGTGAGGAGACACCCTCCAGATACTGCTACACATAAAGAACAACGAACATCAACATCAGTAGGTGAATCGAGACGGGTTCTCAGTTATGTGATAAGATGTAAAAAAGTAACAAATAATTAGACAAATGTAGAAGGAACTTTATGTTATGCTGTGGTTTACAGTTTTAGTTGTACATATGACAAGGCAGGATTGAAACCCATAATAAGCTGATCGATCACATAATAAATACATTGAACAAATTTAATTAAGCCAAGAAATGTGGGAGAGACTCATGAGGTCGCTGCAAAGAAGATGCTATGGATAAGAAGCCAGAGTCCAGTCCCACAACGACACAGAAGAACATAATGTCTAAGTGAGCAAAATAAAAGTGTGACAACAGAGGGTATTGGCAACAAAAAGGAACATATGGAGTCTCACCTTTACAAGTTGAAGTTGTGCGCCATGCATCCGATAAGCCGCTTCACCTGCAAAACAAACAAATGCAAAAGGTAGACCAAGCGAGCAAACAAACACAACATGCCACAAACAATTTCCTGCAAAATAACCAACTAAGCAAAAGTAGACAGGTCCAAGTAGCCAATGCAAAAACTCAAGCCCACTAAAAAGCCCAAAGCTGCATAGGCTTTTGCTTTACCAACAATCACTGGCAAAAACTTCCAAACATACTAAACCACAACCAGAACTTTTCTTCCCCAAGCAGAAAATAATGGGTTATAGGTATATTTTGCCTCTTTACTATTGATTTTTCTCAAACATGCCCTTCTACAATTTTTCACATCAATTGTGCCCGTCTATCATAATGACGTTCCCAAACATGCCCTCTGCTAGATTTTCCATCCAGCAATGGTTGAACCATAGATTGACCAATGTGAATGGGAGGTAAAATATTAGATTTTTCATCCAGCCATGGTTGAACCGTAGATTGGCCAATGTGAATGGGAGGTAAAATATCCATTTTGCCCTTCTTGTATTTATAATCGTCTTTGTCTTCCTATCCCACTAAACTACTGGTTGTTGAACAAACGACCCATCCCTCCTCTATTTTAAATTTTGAACGACCCTCTCGATTCTGATGTCGGCAATGATCGACAGTAGCTCATGCTCGTCACCTCTAACATCACTTCATCCCTCAGCCATAGGCGGAGCCAAGGGGATTGGAATGTGTCCCAAGACACATGTAGTTTTTTGGGTAAAAAAAGTATCCCATATATGTATGAACTAGGTGTTGAATTCATGGTCTCTAGGTAATCATAAGAGTGTTATACCACTAAATTACAAAACATTTCTTGTTTAAAAGTTGACATACACTACAAGAAAATTTACTATTAACGGCTAACTGTATCTGCCACGGTAAGTGCTTTATGTGCCTCGGTAGCCTTGTAGCGACACATAAATGTGTGCTGTCAATACTGCTGCCGCTAAATCTCTTTAGCGACAAATGTTAGCGACAAATATTATCTGCTACTAATTTAAGAATTAGAGGCATATATTTTTGCTTCCAATTTCACTTTTGAATGATTATTTTATTGTCTTATTTTCTCAAGTTGGAGACATTAGTATTTGCTACTAATTGTATTTTTAGGTGCATGTATTTTTGCCGGCAATATTAATTTTTAGTCTAATATAAATACCATTAAATAAATTATCCAGCCACAAATAATGTGCCTTCATTATTTTATATATTTTTTCTCATATACGTTAAGGATATCAAAATGGATTTTATACTTTTGCGGCAGGGTAATTAAGATCAATCGCTTTTGGGGTTTGCAAGGGGGCTCATATGAACAGCAAGCATCCATTTCTCACTGAGCAAGCCTCTGAAGAATTATTGTCAACTCCGGTTTGGGTCCTTTCTTTGGTATTACTTTGTAACACTGCAATAATCCATCGCTGATATGACTCTGAAATTCGAAAATTCGGAGAAACGAAATGAAATAAAAGAAACAACAAAATCAGAGGAAAGCGGTTAAGGGAAAAGCCCTACGTTTGGCGACTGGAAAATCTGAACTGGATCTTTATGACAGCCATCGCTTGTTCTGACAAGTCACGTTGCGCTTGTTCTCCCAACCAATGCATACATCTCCACTGTGCCATTGTTGCGCTGAAAGATAAGTGAGCTCTGCATAGAGAGATAGAAAGCGTTGTCGCCTTGAAGAATCATCTCTCTAATCTAATCCAACGAACCTCTTTCGCGTCTTTCATTTAACCTCCTATTGTATAAATCCATGGAAGAAAATTATATCTGAAATGAAAGAAGGAAAGAATCATATCGGTGACATGCTCAGCTCTGCCAATCCGCCTCTACCGCTTCCATTCTGCACGCACGTACAGAGTCCATCTAATTATAATTTTGCTATGAAATATCAAATATGAATCAATTAAGGAGCTTTATTCCCTCAAATCTCGAGAAGCTAACCACCACATAATTATATCCTTTAAAAAAGGAAAGAAAATCTTGGTTAGTGGATATGTATGATTATTGAGAAATCTTTTTTATCCGTTAGTAATTAGTTGCTTTTCTTTTTCAGAAATTGATGTATTTATTTTAGCAATAAAATATAAATTTTTTCTTATTTCGTTGGAACATATATATTTGTTGGGAATAGGTACATTAAAACCCACATATTTTATGTGTCGCACAAAGTTAATAATATATATTGTAAAACTAATGACGGCTTTAATTTTTGTCTGCTAAACTAATAATTTTCCAACAAATAGTTGTTTGTCTCTATAAGTATATTAGCTAGAGATTTAGAAGACAATTGCAGCATCTTTGCCTCTAAAAGTAAACAGTTTGTTTAATACAATTTTTATATAAAATTACATAATATTATTAGAGGCACATAATAATATTTATAGAGGCAAATTGAATATGTGTTGCTTATAACTACTTTTAGCAACATATATTACATTTGCCTCTATAATTTAACTGTTAAAGAGTGATTTTCTTGTAGTGATAAATTTAATTGAACTCAAAATATGAAAATGTACCGTGGTTGTTTATGAAAAAATGATTGTATTTATGGGTTATTTCTTTATTATACAGGAAAAAACTATTTGAATAATATTATTATTTTAATTATAGTTAATATTTTTTGATATTTTGAAAATAAGACACATGTATTTTCGAGTTCTGGCTCCGCCACTGCCCTCAGCCTCCTCTTCTCTTAATTGGGCATTCTCTTGAGATATCTCCATCCTCTGCACCTTCACTGAATAAATAAAATAAAAAAGCCACCAAAACGGCAAACCATGAGCATGGCAAACTGAAAATGAAAACCCTCAATCCCATTTAAAGCCCTATATAGAGGCCATCAAGTTAAATTACTCGATCTAAAGCACCAAACTTCCAAACCACAATAATAATTCTTCCATCTCAATCTAATGAAATACCAATCTAAATCTTTCATCTTCATCTCTGGGTTTTGCTGCCATCGAATCCGGTGAGGAACTGACTCTCCTACCTGGCTGTTTCGTTCATTGTAGGAGAGATTACACAGCAAGAACAAGGTTTGTGTACAATCGCGATCCTCACCGTCGGTAATCACTGCATCGGCCGGAGTTTCAAATGAAAACAAACTAGTGATTGTGTACAATCGTACAGATTCATATCAAATTGATTGTGACGAATCCAACAAAACCATATCCATATCAATCACATGTATTGTTCAGGTGATTGAATTGATTGGGCAAAGCTCTCTCTGGATCCTGGCATCGTGTGCAATTGCCATTGGGAGAAGGGGTATGCTGATCTTGTATTATTATTGGAAGGGAAGAGGTTGGTGACGGAAGGTGGAGAAAAGATGAATCGAATATATAAATGGGCAGGATATAGCTGGCCCTCATTTTGTTGTAGCAAAGTTACTATTATTTTTTTAGTGTTCGTGATTATTTACTTAATTACAAGGATAAATTAGTTATTCTGTAATTACCAAATTAAGTAAACTCTCATCTAACGAAAGACTAACAGAAATTTGGATGGAGGGGCATGTTTGATAATGTGATCATAATAAAAGGGCATAGTTGATGTGAAAAATTATAAAGGGCACATTTGAGAAAAATCATAGTAGAGGGGCAAAATATATCTATTACTCGAAAATAATCAAGCCTAAAAATGAAAATAATCAAGCATAAGTCTCTGTAAAGCCCGCCTGTCGACATATGTTGTGCCAAAGGAGGATAAGCATTATATTATTTTTATTTAATAAAAAATAAACAGGAATAGTCGTTAATTAAACTTGTAAAATTAATGAAGCTTTAGAAATGTAATAATTATTCCAACAAGCAATAACGATGAAAAAATGAGATAAGAATTAGAACCTCCACCAAGGAATAAATTACATAAGTAACAAATACAAATCATCAGCATGCACCAGCATTTAAGAAATTCCAATTTAAAAACGTCACAGCAACAAACATGATTGCAAGGAGGTCAAGTCCTTCCCCTCACGTGCATGGGTTTCTGTTCTTTTAAGATAGAAAGACACAGTCATGAGTGATTGAAAGTTATTGCTACCCTCCCCATAATAACTCGTCGTATTAAATGGAACCCATTCCACTAGTAATTTAATCCATCAGTTAATCGGTTCTATGCACACGCCGGGGAGAAGGAAGAGCTAATCGGCCGCGGCGGCACAATTGAGAGTAGGATCAATAAGCAAGTAACCCAAATGCAACAATGCTCGATCTCAGATTATGGATTTGATTATACATTAGAGTAGAATATGCTCCACTTAGAGGAAAAGATGGAGCATAATATCAAGGAAAGTCTACGATAGCAGCTCCAGCCACTTCCTATAGCAATTTAGTTAGACAGAACAGCATGTAGATATTCAATCCTTTGGAGAACCTTAACATTCCGGAGACACAATTATCAATTTCGAATTGAGGAGTTCATAAAAACTTATGAGTAATAAAAAAAAAAAACTTTACGATGTTCGGATTGAGGAGGTAAAAGTTATGCCCTTCCAAAGTTTGGAAAAATTGAAAAATTTGCTCGTTCGAGTTAACAAACGACATTTTTTTTTAGACAAAGGCTTGTCGCATATTGAAAGATCTTGAAAAGTTATGTGGAATCGAAAAAATTTCCGCTACAATCGGATAACTGAGCACAAAATTACGTTCATATGAAGTTTCAGTGTTAGATCAGGCATTCACCGCGGCCATCAACCGCGGTGATGCATTCACCGCTTTCGTCTGCCGCGGTGAATGCATTCACTGCGGTTGACAGCCGCAGTGATGCCCAAATATGTGTATTTTATTTTGAAGAAAAAAAATGATAACGTGTGTATTTTGTGATTTCATCCACCTTTTTATGAGAAATTGATTAGGCAGTGTCAGAATAACTGGGGATGCCCAAATGTTGTCCCGATTACAAGCTACCGTTGATTATCGTTTCTGCTACAACAAAACACGACTCTAATGATATTTGTATAGTGACATTTTTTATTTGTGTCACTTTAAGGTAAAAAATCAGCTATGATTATAACGTTTTTCATTATTGTTATTTTAAACAAATATTTTCTAACATTACTAATAAACCAACGGAATATATTAACTGGGACTAAGAAAGAGATAGAAAAAGAGAGCAAACAATTATTTATCAATCTTGATTTTTGTTTTTGTTTGAGCCAAGTTCCTCCGGTCCCACCTTCCTCGATCTCTGCCCCTTCGAACTCAGTACAGGCGCCTGGATCCTGCAAGGACAAGCGCCTAAAGGGCTCAGGAGTGCCCGTTAGCACTCCGACGCCCAAGCCAGAACTAAGTTTAGAGAGAGAAGTGTCAAGTCTCGTTTTAGTGTGAGAGGCCAACCTGCATAAATGCTATCGACTGCCCCTATTTATACTCACCGAACCCGAGGTTGATCTCCGCCACGTCACCTTCCTCATTTAATGCCCTGCGCCCCCAGACAGCTAACTGCCCTGTCAGACTCCTGACACCTGACTGGCATTCCACAGCTCTGCCAGGCTCCTGACACACGACAGGCGCCCGCAGGCCGTGGTCCACCAGCCAGTTGGCCGCCACCTGGCTTTTGGTGCACTGTGAGACAGCTAACCGCCCTGTCAGACTCCTGACACCTGACAGGCGCCCCCAGGCCGTGGTCCACCAGCCGGTTGGCCGCCACCTGGCTCTTGGTGCTTTACTCTTGAGGTCCCTTCTCTTTTCTTGGGCCCGAGGGCCACTAGTGAATATTGGTTCTTACCTTTTGGGCCTTGCCCCCTAACTCCTTCTTTGGGGAGCCCAATCTCTTAGCTTGCTGGGTAATACCCCCAACAATTGTCACATGGCGCTTGTCACTCGGCGCATGCATCGTGTTCTCACTTCTTTCTTGGTCTTACGAGGTGCGTTTGCCTCTCCTCTTCCGCGGGCAGGCGTCCCGCCTTTGGCTGTGTCCCTTGTCGAATGCTCTTCCATGTGCTTCTGTGCCTCTTGCCTGCCGAGGCGCCTCTTACCAAACGGGGCGCCTTTTTTAACTAACCCTCCCTTTCGGGCGCTTCATGGTGTCGTTCTTGACGTGTGTCCTTATCCCTTGTGCCCCCCTCACCCACACTTTGCTTGTCAGGGAAATTTGGAAAAAATAAAATTCGAAATTCGAAATTCGAAATTCGAAATTTGGGAGTTGAGAAATTTCCCCGAAAAGGAAAGGGTGGGGGAAGCTCAAAGGTCCGCCTGTGGTTTTGTGGCTCGCGAAAAGACCAAAAGGTGGGGGAGCGGAAGGGTTCCTTCGGCATGACTGACAAGTGTCATGCGGCGGGTGAGCCCTCGTTTTTCTTTAAATACCCCTCCCCCCTTGTGATGCTGTCACTTTCTTCTATTTGACCTCTCTCTAGACTTTTGCTCTGACTTCTCTCTAGCTTCCGCTCTGACCTCTGTCCTCTTTCCTCTCTGTTCTTCGCTTCCAACACATCACTCTCGTCCAAGATGTCGTCTCCACAACAAGACAAGACCTCTGCACCCGGCGCCTCAGGCGCGGGCGCCTCCGGCGACGGTGGTGAAGCAAGGCGCCCAGTTCAACGTGGTAAGTGGTCCTTTTCCCTTCGTCGATTTCGTTGAGTTTATTCTAGTCACCTAGGGTAGGGGCGTCACTTACCCCTTGTCCGCGTTGCGTCTGGGTCATTTGTTGGTTTAGAGCGGGCGTCTGCTTCCTCATCAGCTGGGTCGTCAAGTTCTTCGGCGCCTGGCTTCTTGCCCGCCGATGGGTCCTACAAGATCACATCGTGGGAGAAGTGTTTCCCACCTGATCATCTGCCCACCGAGACGTCGCACTTATCGTTCGAGGTGGCTGGGCCAAAGCACACGTCGACAGTCACCCTGGACCGGGTTCATGAATTGGTGACCAGTCTCCAGCTTCCCAGAGACTGGTGGTATGCGCCTCCATCGCCTCAGTCCCGGGTAGGCGTCTGTGGCCCGAAGTGGATCGGGATCTATCAGGAATACTTTCGTTTCGGGCTTCAGTTTCCCCTAGACTCGATTATGGAGGGAATCCTGACGACGTGCGCCTGCCCCCTCGGGCGCCTATTCCCCTCGGTCATCACGGTTGTCATCCTATTCAAGTTGAGGTGCCGAGAGCACAACGTGGAGCCCACCTTCAACTTGTTCAGATACTTCTTCAAGATGGTGCCTCTGGACAACTGCTTATCCCTCCAGAAGCGCAAGAAGAAAAGCTGCCCCCATCACTTCGTGAAGAAATGCCCTAAGTTGAACCGAAGCTGGTTCAATGGGTTTTTCTTCGTGAAGGCCTATCAAGACTCCTTCTTTGCAAGTGGGGGCGCCTTTGTGAGGAAGTGGGAGTTAGGTCATGTCGATGACTTCAATAAGCCGGTGGTTTTGACGGCGTCTGAGAAAGCTGGCGCCCCCTTGATTTGCGAGGGGGAGCCTGTTGACTTACGCCCCGCAGATAATCGTCCGCCCATTATTGAAGCTTATTATATAGATGGTGTGTAGGCGTCTAGGTGTTCTGCTTCCTTACCCCCTTGTTTGTGTTATGTACTAACTTACTTTCGTCATATGCAGGGGCGGACTACTCGAGTATCGCCAAGCTTATGAAGAGTAAGCTGGCGACTATGGCGGCGGAGGCGGCCGCGGCAGCGTCTTCCCAACAAGAGGCGCCTGCTCAGCAAGAGGCGCCCCTTCAACAAGAGGTACCTGCCACCCAATCACAGGCGCCGACAGCCGGCCCCAAGAAGAGGAAAGGGAAGAAGAGGGCGGTAAAGGGTGGCACCGCTCGGGCGCACACGGCAAGCGTGGCGTCGTCCGCTCCGGAAGAAGGCGATGGGGCGCCTAATGTCAACCCCGCGGAGAAGGAGGTTAACTCCGCTGAAGAGGAAGAAGAAGAGGAGCCTTTGCTCCGAAAGGGGAAGAGGGCGGGTTCCCCCTTAGCCTCGGCCAGCAAGAGGGCCGACAGAGGCAAGAAGAAGGTGGGCGAGGAGGACGCCTGCGAGGAGGACGCCTGCGACGAGGTGGACGTGGAGGCGGAGACGGCGGGGGACGCCCGCCTTCATCTAAATGAAGAGGGGCGCTATGTTGGCCCCGATGGGCGCCCCCCCATCTTCCGGCCACGGCGTGCCGAGGTGGGACGGGTCAATATAAACTGTTCCCCCTTGGTCGCCGTTGACCGAGGGTGTGCCATGGGCTTGGCGATCGCGGCCGCCAAGTCCTGGCAGGTGCCGTCCGAGGTGAACGGGGATCACCTTTTTGCTGAATTGGCCCAAGTGGGCGCCAAGGTATGCCCCTTCGTACTCGTATTTGTCAGATCCTTCTTACTTGTTATTTTGCACAACTTGCTGACCCTTTTCCAATGGTTGCAGATCCTTCTTTTTGCTGAAAGAGGCGCCCGACGCCTCAGCGAGA